AGCAGGAATTCATTCCCCTGAGTTACAGAGCCGTGCGATGGACACGTCAGGTTCCGTTCACCTGCTGCCCTCGCTTGGTGCCAGAAACAGAGCTTACAAAACCCCCTGGTCTCAAGAGCACAGCTTTCATTCAGTCTGCTGCCTTTCACCCCGCAAGACACATGTAAAAAGAGACACCCTGGGCCTTTGGGCTGCACAGGGCATGGGTTTCTTGCTGTACTGGTTTTCAAATGGCAGCATCTAAACTGGAATCCAGGTGCGAGGGTATGGGAAAGTCAAGGGTAATTTGCAGCAATCTGCAGATCCTGTCTCCAGGACCCTGCAGGGGAAGGCAGCTCTCCCTTCCCTGCCACCCGCCCAACAGGACTGGCCGTTTCACACTCTGCAGATGTCCAGTGTTTTGCACCCAAGCTCTTGGACTTTATTCTTTTGGCTAAGTAGTGCTATTCCAGCACTCATTAAGCATCAAGCAGAGCAAATCCCAAAGTCCACTTCAGTGCAGCTTCCAATCCCCAAACACCAGTTTACTGCAAGGAACATTCCAATAGCTGTTTTAATGACACAGGAGAACTCTACCTTCCAGTCTCTGTTCTGGGGCTGAAGGGCACACAGGGGTCTCTCTTTGCTGCCTGGCAGGATATGTTCAGGAGGGGTGCAGTCAATCTGCTCCATTTCGGTACCTTTCCTCTTCCGCTTTCCACTGTCTAGAGTGGACAGAAATAGAAGGTCAGGGCTGAAAGTTGCAGCCTTCCCTCCTCCCGTCATTATCCCAGGAGGAATGCAGAAGTGATCCAAGTGTTTCTCTGCACTCCTGAATGATGTGGGAAGCTGGCTGCTACAACGTGTTTTAACAAGGCAAAGAGTCAGGAGAATGACAACACCGACCACACTAGAGAAGCCTTTTTGCTCCGTACCTCCCAGGTCTCCTTCGGTGAAGACACTCAGGAAGGACAAGGAGTTACAGTCCACACCATTGAAAGCATCTGATGGGTCAAGACTCTTCAGAAGGTCCCGAATGTGACGCACGTGTATCCTGGCTTCTCGCACTGTGTATGGCTCTGATGAGCAAAAAGGGAGGGGAGAAACTGGAATTACACAGCTGCTTACTCCTTTGGCACACAGGTCTTAAAACAGAACCACAGGTGGCCAAAACCTCTTCCTATGAAAACCCTCCCTCATTCCCTCCTGCAGTCTGAAGGAACTTGCCTTCCACCACTTTCAGCAGTGAACCCTCCTGCAGTCCTTCAATGGTTTTCAGCTCAGCAAAGTTATCGAGGACATTGCCATCCAGCTGCAGAGAGAAGCAAGTCCGATGGCAGGTATCTTCACGGTCCATCAGAACTTGGTGGATCTCTTGCACCATCTCTTGAGGAGAGACCTTAAGGGAAGAACCCAGGCAGTTATTCTCAGTCCTCATGCACGTTCTTGCCAAACTTTGTCCCTTCGCTGCAGAATCAAATGCCTCTGGTACCTCTCCAAGCTTGGAAAGGCAGACTCCAGCTCTCCCTCCCAGGAAGGTCACTGCTGGGAGGGCAGTGCCGGGGCCAGCCACTCCAGCTCCATCCCACAGGGCTTGGCACCCCACAGCCTGGCGCTGTGCTGAGCACTCGCTATGGGACAGAGAGGACAGTGAAGGAACAGAATGCTGTGGGGGAACCCGGGGGCTCTCCCCTTACCATTCACACTGTGCTCTCGTGGGGAGGCTCTGAACAGTGTGCTTGGAAAACAGCCCATTTGCTCCCCTGATCTGCGGCGGTACCCACAGCAGTGTGGCACATCTGTGCCAGCACCACATCTCCAGGGCACAACGCCAGCGAGTGCGGCACAGGAACCCACCCCAGCCCATGC